TCAGCCATTGAAAGGCCATGGGGCATCTGACATTGGCAGCGACGCATCTGTGCCAACTCTTCGAGGCATTGGGTGAGGAACCTGCCTCTTGTAAAATTATGCCCATAGTGTTTTGTTACCTGTTTTAGGAGCTCAAGGAATAAACACAGTTTGTTAAGAATGAAAAGTCGTTGCTAAAACCTAACTGCACCAAATTAGAAAAGGATAGTAAGTAATGCAGTTGGGAGCTGAGAATTGCAAAATGATACAGACAGAATAGGCAGAATTTAATGTGTTCCCCAAGGGGGAGAGTTTGATGGTGGGAGGCAGTGTTTGGCTCCATTCCTAACTCTGCCTCAATTAAATTTGCAACAGGAAGGCTCACAGATGGGCTTCCCACCCTGTTGCCAACTGAGACTCTTATGTTTGCAATTAATGCCCACTTAAGGGCCTCATTCTTCCACTAGGGAACCTTCCATGGCTCAAAATTTGAATTCAAAGGGAGGTGAATTGCCGGCTGTATATATTTAACTGTATGTAGCTCAGTATAAGAAACAAGTCAGTGAGATTCTTTAAGTTAACAAACAAAATGTTAAGTTTTATCGGAAAAAGGTATGCAAGCAAAGATGCAAAAAGTATTATTACAAGGTTTAAAATGTACAGTATATGCCACTACCCTTCTTGAAAAATAAGACATATGCACACAACCCCCTCCAAGCTTGGAAAAATTATGAACCTCTACAGAGTATTCCCTTTAAAAACTTTGGCAAAGTGACAGTTAAATTTTTAAAAAAATTGTTCACAGACTTTCAAAATGCTGGACTGCAGCCAAAGTGATTTTCCACACAAGCTATTGGTATTCGGGTTTCTTCCTGGATCAGTTATTGCACAAATCTCTTTTTCTGGAGACAAGAACAGTTTCTTTCTGGCTGTGTTCAAAGCCCATATATTTTACACCTACACACTGGCTCATGCAACCTCTTTGTGAAAGTCTTGGTGAATCCACTTAATCAGCTGTGTTCTTTGTAATGCAACATTTTTTGCTGCTGAAGCCAATGTCCTTTGCTCTGAAGTGTTACACAGACGAAGAGAACTTGGCGCAGGATTAATAGCTGTTGCCTTCTCTATCTTTCTTTGAAATCCCTCTCATCAAAGTTTGAAAATCTATGTTAAGACCTCGTTGCCATAACTGGATGGTTCTTAAAAGATAAGTCTGAATCAATATCACTGTCTCTAGAAAAAGAGAATTCCACAGTAAGTGATCCAGAAAGAAACCCCAATCTTTTCAAAACATTATATATGTGCAGTCAAATACATTATAAATTAATATATTGAACAACATGTCAATGCAGTAGGTTATCAGGGACTGAAGGCAATCCCTCTCCCCATTACCCTGCTACTAATCTCCCTCATCCATGAACCTCCAAACCTGTGATCTCTCCCCTGCCTTCATTCACGTGTAGACTAGGTCCCTCAACACTCCTGGGCGTTGGGGTGATTTCCTCACTAGCAACAACTACCACGTCCCTGGTGGCATTGCCATGTTGTGATTGGCTGCTCTCAGCAAGCGGAACATCTATCCCTGAGTCCTTCATCCTGGGGAGACTTGCCAGTGCCTACATAAGTGCCTCAGTTGCACTTAGTTCAACAAGCCTTCCTTAACAGAAGAGAACTAGTGAGAGCCCGGTTTTAAAACCAAACATACATTCATGCGTTAATTCTTGCCACAGCAAAAACAAAATCAATGAAAGCCAAAAGTCACATACAGAAAGCAATCAGAAAGTCTAACGGAATGTTGACATTTACATTAAGGATGGGGAGGTCAATCACAAAGGGGAGAAATTGCTGCTCAGTTGTGGCACTTTGATCAGATGCAGTCCAAAGTTACGTATTGGTTTTGGATACCACATATCAGGAAGGGTATGTAGGATTTGGAAAAGATGTAACGAAAATTAAATAGAATGATACAGAGCTTAAAGGGCTACATTATGAAAACAAATTGTTTAACTTTAGTTTTTATTCCCTTGAGTATTGAAGGTTGAGGGATGATCCACTAAAGGGTAGACTTGGAGACCCATTTCTGGGGAGATGAAATCAAAATCAAGGAAACATAATCTGAAAATTTGGTTTAGATCAAAAGCAATATCAGGAAGCACTTCTTTCAAACAAAGGTTAATAGAAATTTGGAACTAGCCTTCCCTGTCATTACATAGATAGAGACAATTGGAGCTTTCAAGACTGGAATGGATAGATTTTTGTTGGCATCAAGGAATTCTGAAGCAAAGTCAGGTAAATGGAGTTGAGACGCAGGTCAATCATGATCTGATTGAATGGCAGAGCACACCTAAGGGGCTAAATGGACTATTCTTATGCTTAATGTCCCTGTTAATTGGAAAGAGCTGTTGGAGATGTGCAAGTGACAGGTAACTGTCCAGTGTGAATGTTATATATTCAATGTTATTTATTTTCTCAGGAGTGTAATTCAAGCAAGTGGCAGTATTGGGAGGAACTTGTCAAACTTCTCTGTTTACTGCTTCTGAGTTACCAAGAGGTGACTAAACGTAAGTCTAGAAAATACCTTTGAGAGTTTCCCTTTTATGTCTTCTAATATTGCTATTAATAACTGTCTCGAGGCACTGGAGGTCATATCCTTTGTTGAATAATACACAATTCAAGAGAACAAAATATCTGAGGCAGATATAGAATACGGTTCTCCTGCAGAACTTACATCAAGGTGATGTGCCTATTTTTAAATGAAATAAACAGAAGGGACAAAGTTTCCACTCATTTCATATTCTGATTCCAGAGCTGGATCTTTCGTGCAACCAGCCAAATCAGTGTAAAGTGTGAAAATAGGTGATCTGATAAAGGTCGTCAGCATCAAAAAAAGATTTGGTACGGTAGACAGAGACATCGAGAAGATGTTTCCACTTGTGCAGGAGACTGAACCTCATTCACATTTTAATTTTTTACATGGCTTTGTATGATGAACCAACTGGAAAATAATAGACACAATCCCCTCATCCAAGTCATTGATCTAGCTTATGAATTATTGTGATACATGCATTGATCCTTATGGTACTGCAGTAGTTAGAGCCAGTGATCCAGAATTGTGACGTGTTTGTTTCTACTCAATTTTCTGCTCATTGATCTTTCATGAATCCCTTGAGCCCTAATCTCATGTGACACTTTATCAAATGTCTCCTGAAAATATAAATAAATTAACTAACTGGTTCCAGTATTCATCCTGCTTGTTTCCCCTTACTGCATTTTTGGTAATACTATAAGACTCCTGTCTTAATCTACTACGTTAATATTATCTGTACCTTTTCCAATTAGCAATTCTTTTTCCACTTTTCCAATAAAACTTTTGTTCCTCCAAAGAATATACATTTGATAAGAATTAGGAATTATTTATTTAAATCACAACTCCTGTAGCAAAGCAAAATTCTGGGATTGCAGTCACCAAGGAAGTAAGTTGTTGCAATGCAGCTCTGACTGAATGCGAACAACAGTGAAGCCATTTAAACCTTTGCATGTTTTTAAGTAGTGCGCATTGTCTAACTGGTTAATCTTCGAAGCCTGATTCCAGGTTTTGAAAAACCCCATGAAAAGGATGTTTTTTAAAAAATTTAAAGCACTGCAGTCGAAAGAATTCGCAGCTCTCCATTTTCTGGGGTCATGGCAGCTTTCAAGCTTCAAATGTGGTCACAATGGAAAAAATGGGAAACACTGCTTTAACTGCTTGCCATTCCCTATTTACCATGACATATCTTCGCCGAACTTTGTATTCTACCCTACCAGCTCACCTTACATACTTCGTTAATTGACTTTGTTTAAATTTAAGACTCTCACTTCAGTTATACCCACATCTATTTCAATATTATTGAGTTCCTGCATGTTAGGAACACTTTTTTAGAGAGGATCCTTTACTATAAGATTACTAGTTATCACACAGTAATTGATGTGATAGCCTGTTCCCTAGTTGGTTCTGCAACATATTATTCAAGATATGTCTCACAGGCAGGACCTGAACTCGTTCTCCAATTAACTTTCACCAATTTGTTTTACTCAGTTTGTGTTAAGATACAAGTTCACTGGCATTATTGGATTTTCCACATTTAGAGCTCATCTCATTTCCTGATTTATGTTCTGGTCAAGCAGTATGATTACTATTAGCAGGCCTGTGTTCAGATTCTGCCTTTTGTTATTTCTTAGCTGCACACATAATGATTCGATATCTGGATTTCTGGACTAAGATCCTCTCTCATGACTTCCTTTTTCTTAATATATTCTTTAGGTTACTTAAGGTTTTCAATCACAGAGCGGTTAAAGTATGTTCTAGCTGACAGTCCTCCTGTGCTCACCACACATGATAAAATCACTGTTGAAGAAGTTCAGTCGGATATGGAGATATTCTACAGTCGAGCACTCAATGATTTGGGAACCCCATTGAATCCACAACTAGAAGAACAGATCAATTTACTGAAAGCTCTGCTCCTTTGTGCAGCAACCAGAACATAGCTGTTTTAATTTATTTTAAACAGATCATTTTGTATATAATGACCTAAGACTTTCATCCAATGAGCATCTTTGCACAAAGCACATTATCTGAAACTTGAAGAGCATTTCAAGCACTATTTCTGTGACAAATGTGCAAAGTGTGGTATTAGGATTTCTGCCATTGTAAGGCAGCCATACAAACCTAATGGTAAACAGCAAAAACTCTTATTGTGATTTTATTATTTTATATTGAATTATCCTACACAGAGGAGCGTTTCCATTGAATGTATTTCGTTTTGCCTTGGTGCTTTTCTGCAGAATACAGAAATTAAGCCATCAGATGAATTGTCAATTATCTTTGGGCTTCAGAAAAGTATTTGAAGTAAAACTCTGGACAGTTGAGTTTGGAATGCGCCCATTATGGGCTACAGCTATATTTCTTGGAATAGAATTTGGATGGCCCTTTATCTTCATTCAATCGGTGCATGTAAATTGAGTTTATCTGAGTTTATAACAGTGGAAATTCACAGCACATGCACCTTCTATTGCTTTGGAATCCAGGGTTTCTGAATGCAATGTTAGTCAATTCCTGTATATTGGGAAAGTTTCTTTATAAGTATTTTATTTAAAGTTTAATGTAATCAAATTTCTCTAATGGGAGTGAGTGAGTGACCCAGAATTTTAAGCTTTCAAAATGTTCCTCCTATCCAGTGAATTTAAATATGGTTTTATTGTTTTCTCTGATGTTGCTTTATAAAATTGATTTTCATGATGTATCATTTCTGCAAGTTTACTGTACAGTAATGGAACTTTCAATGCCTCTTATTATCCAGTGGCATTTTCTGTAGACAAGACCTTGAATGGAATATCATCTCACTGTATCACCTCTTTTGCTATTTCATCTTTTCATAATGAATGAAGCTTCATGATGTTGCTTTTAATACTTGCATTAGGATACTGCAGTAAGACTGAAGTATAGGGATGGTTACTTGTTCACTGCCTTCCATTGTAGGGCAAGGAGAAGTTGACAGATAATAATGGTTCTCCTGCAAGATAATATTGCACTGTTACTTTTTCAAATTAGATGAATCTCAACTAATTTGATGAAATAGTTACCAGAATTCTGAATAATATATTTTTTCATACTTGCTTATGTAATTTCATGTATATATTTCCTAATAATGCATGTATCTTTAAGGCTATACATTTTCATTAACATGCAGTAATGTTGGACATCGTCACAAGATATTGAAAATTTTACTGTTCATAATCCACTGGTTTGATACAAAGTAAGCCTGACACCACAGTAACTCATATAGTAGAATGTCTGCATGGCCATTGTACTAAGAGTAAATCACACAGCTGGATGGTATTGGAGGAGGGGGAAGGAGAGTGCACTTATCGGCAAATTTGGTTCACATTTGTTGCATGGGTCCTTGCTGCCCATTTCTGTCTACTGAAGCTTACTCTAGGTTCAATAAAGCACAAAAATAAATACATCATAGGGAATACATTTGACAACTAAACAGAGACATGGGGTGAGAATCCTGTCACAAATCAGAGCCACTGAAGTACCCTACTGCTAAACGAGTTGATAGTAACAAATTTGACCTTGCAATGTTATGGGAAAGGAATGCAAGTGAGTCTATTTGGATAGCTCCTTCAAAGGGGCAACAGACCAAATCTTTATTGATTTTTATGATTAATTTGTGTAGGAAATTGCAGGAAATAGACAAAGATTTTTTCCCCCTTCTGTCTGGGATAGACTTTGACCTATGACTCCAAGATATGCTGCAAGACTTAATTGCTTTGTCAGCTAATTAATTAATCCAAAGTTCACCTATTCCTGTTGGTCAGAAATGACAAAAATAATTCATTTGCACCCAAAGATCGACAAATTGTCTTTTAAGTTTCCTGGAAACACACCCAGTATTGGCACTGGTTATTTGGATGGTACAAAGTTGACACCTTACTGAAATTCCATAGGACTGAGAACATCTAGGTCTCTGTGGCCAACAGCATGCATGAGAGAGAAAAGTGGGATTATCTCATTTGAGGCCTTGAGTGGTTTGAAACTTTCTGGACTTTTAGTTTTATTATTTTAGGGCTGCTAAAACAGCTCAAAACTTCCTTCCAGCTCCAATAGCCTGGAAACTACAAAAGTGCCCTCCTTGTTGGTATGGATCCTTTCTTCTGAACTGAACCTGTCTGGCCCTTCTTTCTGTAGGTTGTAAAAGCTCAACTTATTAAGCATTTCAGTAACTTGTCGTGCACCAGACTAAACCCTCAAAATATTCAGAAGATATAGTGTAGACCCTAACTTTTTCTCACTTTAAAGATGAGTGTAAGGTTTTGAGTACCAGATGCAATTCGATTGGTCAAACTACTCGACATTAAGCAAAATATGCTTCATTTTTACACTACAGTTAAAATAGACAAAATAATAATAAAAGAATTGGCTTTACTGTAACTATCAAAATGTTTAACAAAGTATATGTATTAACTACTACTAACTAACTGTTTCAAATCGTAACATCGCATAAACACACCCTTGGCAAAGGAAAATTCAGTAAAAATAGATCGTCTCAGGCAATTCTCCAGGAGCAGGAGGCAAAACATCAAGAGAAAACACAGTAGCAGGGAGAGATGTCCTGCAGCTCCCAAACCTAGCTTCCAGACCCCAGCAACTGCTATTGACAAACTAAGACTAAAAACCATGGTTCCAGGGGAGCTTGACCCACCCATTTCAGGCTGCTTCTATTGTTCTAACTTTTTTTTCCAAAAAAAAACCCAAGACCTCACAAGCTGTTTACTTTATTGGATTCAAATAGTCAACTCAGTACCTCTTGCTGTGAGTTAAAGGATAGTCAGCAGTGTTTGGATGACTCACATTTATAGAGGGTAAACTGTTAGTTACCACACAGGAGTGCACCGGGATAGTCAAACTTAGACGTGAAGGAGGGTTACAGCAGCAAATAGGTTAAGACAGAGGCAAAACCAAGCAATATTACGGAAGTAGAAAATACAACTGTCAGAGATGCTATATAACATTAGAAACTCAGGACAAAAATGTGATATTAAGTTCACAAACAGACTGGATTAATCAGACTGTTGCCAGGGAAAAGGAGTAGAGTAGGTGATTCAAGAATGGAATTTGAACTAGGGACTGGAAACAATAGCTTCTGTCTTGCCCATACTTAATTGGAAGAAATTTCTGCTTATTCAGTACTGGGTGTAAGATAAGCAGTCTAATAATGAAACTATGAGACGACAGCAGATTTTCAACTACCGTACATTTGGTATTATTTGTTTTGAGGATATTGTGAATTCAGCAGTAAATAGGTACTGAAATTGGGCTGAGGCTTCAAAACTAAGTCAATAGATAACTTTTTAAACCAGCTCAGCAGGCTTTAGGTCAGTAGGTTAGATGCCAAAACATTTCATGCCAAGTCACAGCAGAAATGGGTTACTGATTGTATTTGCAGATCATTTCACAACTTAAACTTGTAAAGCTGACATTTCCCAGTTCAAACAAAGTATTTTCCATGGAAGAACATGTTAGATATATTGAAGTGTAATCACAATATACTTTTAGCTTAATAGTGTAGAATGGATCCAGTAGAATTGTATTCAGAAGGTGCTTCCTGTCAAAAGAGTAAAGTCACTAGAGTCCAACTGGGCAACTCTCATTAGAGAGAGACAGCTGATCCTGGTTTAACCTAAGAGTCACCACACCCGAGGTGAGGGGAGAGATTGAGGAGGAGAATTCATCATGGTAACTTAAGTTGATGCAGAAATTGTCAACACGCTGTGACAATACTCTGCATCACAAAACAGCTGTCCAGACAACAAAACTAACCAACCCTGACTCAAAGCATAAAAATATTCCTCCTACAAAATGAATGCTTCTCAGCTTGGACTTATAGAAATAAACAAAAAAAAAGAAGTGGTCTTTTTAAAAAAAAAAAAGCCACCAAAAATCAGTGAAACCAGTCATCTCGACTCCAGGACATTTCTGAAGGGGTTTCTTGGGGTTCAGAGTTCTTAGACCAACCTTCTTCCTTCCATCACTGGGTCAGAAATAGGAATGTTCACTGATGATTGCACATTCACAATTCCTTAGACACTGAAGCAGTCAGTGTCCAAATGCAATAAAACCTGGAGAACATTAGGCTAGGACTGATAATTGGCAAGCAGCATTCACAATGCCAGGCAAAGACCATCTCCAATGAGAGAATCTAACCATTAACCTTTGAACTCCACCCCTGCACACCCATTATCAAAATGATCCTGGAATTTACAACTGACCAGAAACTAAATTGAACTGAACAAGCACCAGTGTCTGCCAACCACCTACACAACATGTCAGAAATGTGATGGAATATCCCTATGTGCCTGGATGAGTGTGGCTCTGACAGCACTGCAAAGTTTGACATCATCCAGGACAAAGCTGACAAATCAGCATCTTATCCACCAGCTTCAAAATACACTGCTTTCACCACTGACGCACAGTAGCAGCAGTGTTTACCATCTACAATATGCTCTGCACAAATTCACCAAGGCTCCTTCAACAGCAACTTTCAAACCCACAACCACCATCATGTAGAAGCACAGGGCAACAGACACATGGGAACACTGCCACCTGTTAAATCTCCCCTAATCCATTAATTCTAATTCTGGATCAGTTGTTAAATTTTAAATCTGAGATGAGAATTATCTGAAGAAATTGTATTAAGGGGTTAAGAGGCACAGGTAGACAGCATTGAGAAGATGGTGTTTGGTACACTTGCCTTTATTGCTCAGTGCATTGAGTATAGGAGTTGGGAGGTCATGTTGCAGCTGTACAGGACATTGGTTAGGCCAGTTTTGGAGTACTGTGTTCAATTCTGGTCTCCCTGCTATAGGAAGAATATTGTGATTTACAAGGATGTTGCCAGGGTTGGACGTTTAAGCTAAAAAAAGGTAGAAGCTGAATAGGCTGAGGCTATTTTCCCTGGTAACCTTTCAGAAGTTTATAAAATCATTACCCTTTTCCCCAGGGTAACACAGAGTCCAAAACTAGAGGGCACAGGTTTAAAAGGAGAGAGGAGAAAGATTTAAAAGGCACCTAAGGGGCAACTTCTTTCATGCAGAGGGTGATGTGTGTATGTAATGAGCAGCCAGAGGAAGAGGAGGCTGGTACAATTACAACATTTAAAAGGCATCTGAATGGATGTGTAGGAAGTGTCACTAGTTGCAGCAGTTTGAGCCCCAAATTTCAGAACTTAAAACAGAAGCTGGTGTTACTGTAGGATATCCATGAGGCTGATATCTACATTGATTGCACATTTGTAGATATGGTCAGCTTAAGTGTATATAGGCAGTCAAAATGAATTTGTATTACTTGCCTGAGTTGTCCATGTATCTCTTACTCTCTAACCAGTGTTCATAGAATCCCTGTAGAAGCAGGCTATTTGTCCTACCAAGTCAACACTAACCTTCTGAAGAACATTCCATCCAGACTTACTGCATGCCTACAACCCCACATTTCCCATGGCTAATCCACTTAAACAGCCCTGGACTCTCTGGGCAATTTAGCATGGCCAGTCCACTTAATTGGAAGAAACCCAGGCAGACAGGAGGAAGTGTGCGCAAACTCCACACAGTCGCCAGAGAGTGGAACCAAATCCAGGTCTCTGGTATGGAGGTAGCAGTACTAACCACTGAGCTACAGTGCCACCCCAAATTCAGTTCTGTTTGCTGATAAGACTAAAGCCAAGTCCTGTCTGTGTAGCTGGGTCACCTGTGGTTAAAAAAAAAAAGTGGAAGGAAGTGTGGAAGAGTCATTAGTAAACCGAATAATTTTAGTTTCATGTACATGTGAGCCTAGAAATAGAAGTCAGGTGGCATGTTGATGCAAGGGGTTTGGGGCATGGGACCTGCACAGGCTGAATGGGGCAGAGCTCCCTGCATGGTAATTTGCTGGGGGAGAAGCTTTAAACCAAATTTGATAGGCATGTAGGAACCAAGTGATTACATCAAAAGTGAAGTACGAAGTTACAAAAAATATTGGGAGACACACAGATAGGGCCAAAATAGAGAATAATGAAATTAACAGTTGGGATTAAAGAAAAATTAATGATGTCAAAATCAGGTTAGTGTACACCTTTGTAAATGGATGGGGTATGGTGAAGAAAATTAGGTGATTGCAAATGCAGATTGCCATGTGGAATAGGATGGTGCATCTATAAGAGACTTGGCACAAGAAAGGGCAGGGTTGGATGTTAAAGATTCCTGGACACAAGATGTTCCTGAAAGATAGAATAAGAAAAAAAAAAGTGGGTGACACTACTAAGGACAACATTGCAGTACTGGAGAATGTCTTTGCCTAGAGTCGGCAAAGACAATCATTTTGGCTTGAGCTAGGAACCAAAAAAAAGGTGCCATTTTGCAACTCAGTCTAGTCTCTAGACTGCCAACTAATGGAAAGGATAAGGAAACACAGGAAAGGATCAAGAACTGAAAGCACAGATTTAAAGTAGTAAAAGAGATTAAAAGTTAGGAAAACCTTTCATGTAGTGAGTGGAGGATGGTTCAATTGAGGCACTCGATGGGTATTTGACAGTTCATTGAAATTGGTGCAATGTGGATTATGGAGAGAAGGCAAGTGAAGGGTACTGGGTGATATGTTCAATTTAGAGAACTGGCATGACGGGCCAAATGGCATCTTTCCACACCAGTAATTCTGTGGAAGATTTTGGCAGTTAGTTCAAGGTACAACTCTTGCATCAAGTCAAATGATACTTAATAAATTTACATGCTTCCACATTTGTACCCAAAAATAGCACAGCCTTATGTCAGATGTTCCACAGTAGTGTCTGGGATATACATAGCCCTTATCAGAAACAGATCCTAGACAGATTAGAAAATGAAATGGAGTAAAGAGCAGGACTGAAAGAGCAGAGCGTATTCAGTAAGTATGAAGGCAGGCAGCAAAGAGACATGGTAAGGGATAAATAAGGAAGTTCTATGGAGCAAGAACACAATGACTGAACCACTTGGCAAAGATGTTTCTTGGAAATACATTAGTCATACTTCCATTGGCTGCAAGAGAAATTCAATTGATTGTAAAGACAGATCTTACCATACAAATGGGCTCCTACATGTAGAGAACAAATGAATGCGTTTTCCCTATTTTTTTTTGGGTAACATTCCAGAAGGCAAAGTTAGTAAAGATAAGAAAGGTGCCCAGAAAGAGCTAAATAAGTTGTATGGTCCAATTGGATTTAGTACTTCACTTCAAGCAAGGCAGATTATCCATTCTGTTGCAAAGCCCAGGGTTCCCCAAACATAACCAGAGTACTGTCTCTTGTGGTCATCTTACTCTAATAGTAGAGTGGCCAGGGCACATTTGGAATTTAAATTCAGTTAAGTAAACCTAGTAACTTTTTATTCTGTCAATAATATTGACCATGCAATCATAGGATTATCACAATAACCCACCTGGTTTACTCAGATCCTTTAGGAAAGGAAAACTGCTATCCTTACCCATTTGGCTATTTGTGATTCCAGGCTTCCAGAAATGTGGTTTATTTTTAATTACCTTCTGAAATAACCTCAAGCCACTCTGCTGTATGACATTCCCATCACCAAATCCTTTATCAACAAACTGAACAGAAACCTGAAGTGGATCACTCATGTACTATAGCTACACAAGGTCAAAAGTTTGAGTGTTCTGCAGCAAGTTCTCTCAACTTGCCAAAACCTGCCCACCATTAACGAGATACAATTCAGGAGGGCAACATATTATCGTGTCTAAACCACACTACAGGAATTTGACCAAATACAAGACAAAGCAGCACATTTACCATTGTAAAAATTCACTCATTCCGCTACCAACACTTTGGCTGCAGTATGTGTAAACAATGAAATACACTGCAGCAGCTTGACAAGACTTAGACAGCGCATTCCAAACCTGCAACTTCTATCCCTAGGAGCAGGAGGGCAATGACATCAGTGGAATCATCCAGTCACATTGCATTGACTTGAAAGTTTACACATCTTTGCTGGATCAAATTCTTGGAACCTGAAGTAATTTCCATGCATTGGCTGTAGCATTTCAGGGCAGTAACTCACCATCACTTTCTCCTGGGCAATTAGCAATGTACAATGCAATCCTGTCAGCATTATCCACATTCTACTAATTTAAAAAGACTAGTGGTGCCATCAGTGCTTATCTAGATCATTGATGAGAAGTTAAAAGTTAGACAAATGCTACCTTTTGGTATTTTTCTATTCTTAATTCAACAATTTTCTTTGAGAAAGTCATACACTATGATATGCTTAAGTTGAGTTTAGCATCACTGTAACAGTGCAGGAGGCCAGAGCGATCAACTGTAGTAGTGGGAAAGGGGATTAAAGTGGCCAATTTGATAAGCAAATCACTCTTTAATAAAAGGACTGCTTGACACCTGATGAGAGGAAAGTGGAAGGTGAAAGGCCAGTGCTTGAGCAAGATCAGGCAAAGTAGTGATGCTTGTGTGGGGTTACAATTGTGAACATGAGAATTAAATGGTTTGGTCCTGGTATTATAAAAAAAAACAAACTTATGCGCCTTTATGACTAGACTCCCCCATATTAGAAAGCTTCCAACAATAAGTTAGGATTCATGCACCACAGAATTACTTGCAAATAAATTCATGACCAGAAATGCAATAAAAAAGCATTTTTCAATTAAAAAACTTCAATTGCCATTATTTTAATACTGATAATTCACTTGTTTCAAGGGATTAAAATCTAAGCTTCAAAAATTTTAAATAACCAGTTTAACAATTTAAATTAAAACACAATTTCTTGGTATCTAGATTCTACAGATCTAGAGTTCAGACTGAAGACAACAAAAGAAGTTAATATCCTAGCAGAAATACTGATAAATAATAAAAAATGCGACCTTTTATGGCAGTTTCAAAAGCATCAGTTACAAAGTTTTCTTGGTATCAATGGAGTGATGTCAAGATTTCAAATGGCAATTTAAAAATCAACCCATGAGAAAGGAACACATCATTCGTCTCTTGAAAAATAAGCAAATCAAATGCACAATATTACAAAAGCCTTTAGCAACATATCTGGATACAAAAAGAAAATCCTGTCAATTTGTACCACAGTTATTTAAAAAACTAGATTTGCAATTTACAGTAGCTGCCTGATTTGTACAAAGTTATTCATTCTTAATGTCTTTTAAAAATGCATTAAATTATAAGGGCTGACCATAATACACCTTTGGTCAGCAAGTCTGTTTAGTCTCCATTACAAAATATGGTTGTCACAACATATGCCAAATCGAAAAAAAGAGAAGCCTGAAATATGGTCACAGAATTAGGTACATGAGTTTATTTAACTATTATACAATTCCATAAATAGAGGTATACAGGTGGCTCTTTAGTATTATGTGCCATCTATCTCAACAGTTTTTCTCTTGACCTCACAGGAACAGGAGTACATTCCCTAACACCTTGTTAGTCACATCTTTACAACAAGGCTATATGATACCGATACCAAGAGAACGGTGGATGCTGTAAATCAGCAACAAAAACAGAAGCTGAGGGAGGGTCAACAGACCCAAAACATTAACTCCAATTTCTCTTCACAGATGCTGCCAGCCTTGCTGAGTTTTTCCAGCACCCTGTTTTTGTATACGAAACCAAGCTTGCTAGTCAGTGTGGATCTTAACCAGAAACCTCAGCACACATCACATCAACACCAAGGCTCTCATTTTTTCCAACTTGGCTTCAAGTGTTTTTTGGCTGTAGGGCAGTAAAGATGGTAAAGACTACAGAAATGTCGCAACCCAAGCTTTTCGGTGCAAATGAGCATTGCAAATTTTAAGTATTCCAAACAGGCTCTGATTCTACAACAGAATTCAAACTTCTCTTCCTTCTCTGCTAATTTCTTCCCTCATTTTAAAAATAAAATCTTTACAAGAATAAGGGTAGTTAGAATAAAGATCTCACGGGTGAGGAAGAAGTTAAAAAACGTTCTCAAACAGCCAATGCTAAAAACATGGTGCAATATATTAAAAGCCTGTAGGAGCAAAGACATTCACATCCCTGGGCTTTACAACGTGGGTACGCACAGGCTGCTTTTTCTGTCCTTCTAGCACAGGTATTTCCATGTTGGGGGGTTTCAAATTTGCATGATCTTCTGCTATCTGAGTAGCAGTGCCCCGTGTACGCATGATGTCCATAGGGGAAGGTTTTTGCAAACCTTTGTAACTTTGAATAGCAAAGGCACCTGGAAAAAATAATCCGTTTGTTAGCATTAAACATCAGAAATTTCAACTATTATTTAAATAAATTAGAGATAGCGCAAATTTCAAAACAGCCAGTAATGAAAGCTTACAAGATATTTACATTTTTGAAGTGTTAAAAACAAAGTTATTCCTCAATGTCACTTTATTAGGAGGTTTGAAGTTCAAATTTAAAACATGAAAGCTTTTTAAAATAAAAATCTAACCTAAAACAAATATTATTGTTAGCCATAGGATGAAAGTGTCACTTTTAAACCAAATACCTGGCAAATTACTAGGGTTTTGGTAAAATGAATCATATGCATGTATGAAGTAGAAAACAAAAACTAAAATTTGAATTGGACTTCTTTTCAAAAGATTTGTCAGCGAAATAATGTTTTGAACGAACATGCAGAATTAAGATAACTTCATGATTTTATAGAAACTTCTAACAGCAGATTAAATAAATTAGCATCTATACTGTGATAGTAAGAGTGGTACCATAAAACTTGCTCCACAAACCAAAGGCAACTTCTATAATCATGGTGCAACTATCACAAATTGATTTAGAGCCTAATGATTTTCTGGCTAAAAACATTGGAAACTAAAATACAGCATAATGGACAACTCTCAGTAAAAACAACTCTGTAGGCTTAATATTTTTCAAGTTCATGCAGTCCAACTGGAAAGCTTGGAGCTTTGGAAGCTACGGATAAAGGTCTTAAACAGCTGTTTGCTGCTTGAGAGCTGCAGGATGCAGACCACTGTGCTGAAAGGTCAGAACTTACCACCATAACACCTCTATTCAAAAGATAAGGACATTGGTCTGCAGTTACCAGATTTGTCATTTAATTTCAGTAACAAGCAAGCTTTCAGAAGGTGGTAATGCAAGCAAGATTCAACATTCTTTGCGTAGGATAAAACTAATACTGAACTGAAAAGACAAGGATCTTTGTACAAGAATATACCATGTTTGACAGTTCTCAAGGAATGCAACAGACTATTTTGAGGACAATGAAACCTACCAATGCCTTGCATATTTCATAGGATTTTCAAAAAGGCACCTGATCACAAGACTGGTTCACTCAACTCAAGGCAATATCAGAAGGTTAGGATTGAAGTAGTACTAAGCATGTTCAAGTAACAAATGTTGAACTTCCCACCTGATTCATTTGCTCTGAAATTCTGTGTAAGCATGAAAGGTCTCCATTTTTCAGCTGCAGTTGAGTCACTGGCAAATATAGAAGAAGAATCTCCATCCAGACTCCTACTGCTCAAATCAGAAGTCGTCGCTCCCTGGCCAAACAAATATCTGAAACCATCAAGAGAGCAGTAAAAATATTTCTCCCACTGTATTACAAGGCATGAAATGACAAAATAATTTAAATATTTTTGAAAGTCTAGTTTCCTAATATTATGACTTTGATGTGACACCATTGGTAAATGATTGTATGGCTAACTGGTATAATATTCACACCCATCGTACAACATGTCATAACTGATACCAAAATGGGCAATTTCACCTGAACTACGGATGGGCAAGATTTATAGCCAATTAGAAAAAGGAAATTACACAGATGGTTAGGAACGCACAGAAGGACAATAACTTATGAGTAGCATACTGTGTTTTGCTGGGGCTCTTATGGCTCAGTGGTAGTGTCCATACCTCTACATCAGAAGACCAGGTTCATGTCCTACCTTATCAAGAGGTGTGACACAAGGTGTTTGAATAAGGTGATTAAAATACCTACTGTTTTGCCACAAGCTAGAGATTGTATAAATACAGTTGTTCTGCATATTGGAAAGTGTAGCTACTAATCTTATTGGAATTAAATTGATGTTCTCTGCTGGAATGTAGTTTGCATTTTCAAACTGATTACTCACTTGTTGGACAACAGTCCCAACATCTTGTCAGCATAAGAATGACCATTTAGAGGTTGCCCTTCTTTGGTGCACAAGTCAGTTACTAAAGTTTGGCAGGTGGGTGTTTTATGGTTAATATTTAGTTGGCCAAGATGCAATATTTTAGATTAAAATTGAATTACTAGCTAAAAGTATTGTAATTATTCGAGTTGACCTAGATAGCAGATATTTTGCTAATTTTTATAACTATTTCCATACCTACGATTTGGCATTGGAGAGGCCTGTGGAGTCCCAGTGGGTGTTGACTGAGCTGATGTGGATATCTGCTTCTCTTCTTTTTTTGAATCCACATTCTGTATTTTGAATTTCTGTTTTAACCAAATTGCAAACACTAATATTAAAAAGAGGCAGCCAATGACCAGATAGATTAATCTTAATGACAAGATATTTGTTTGATGAAGCTGCTGTAAAGTAACTTGGAAAAAGTTCTTTAAAAGCACAGTACAAGTAGTTGTAGCATTAGTGCTAAAAGTTGAGTTAGTAAGTCAGTTACACAATTGACTCAGTCTGCAGGGTTTTATGGCCCATTCCTAGTCTGTCCTCAGTTTAGGAGTTTAGCAACAAGAACTGCTAATAAACCTGAAACATTCTCCAAAAAGATGCTGGCTGACCTGCTTCCAACATTTTCTATTTTGCTCTTTAGAGGAGTTAGTCTTCAGCTTTGGCAAGAATGAAAAAAAAATAAAGTGCTTAACTGATAGGGAACAAGGTTTTTTTTTTTTTTTTAAAAATAATTGAATAACCTGCTCATTATCTAACCTCAATGAAACATTGGCAATGGAAAAAGCTTACTGCAACAGACCAGGGACTGACCCTTATCCATGATTTTCCTATATGCTCAACATTTTGATTCAAACTTTTCAAATATATATAATAATCCAACAATAAAAAAGATGGTTAGTAATCTCAACACAGCTGGTCAGAGCTAAAAGAACCAAAGCAAAAAGGTGCCAACACATCCATTAGGATAACGGAGATGGTCATAACAAGAAGAATTGAGTTTATCTGTCTTAAATGAAAAGGTGAGACATGACAATTCATGGGTGTAACAAGTACTCTACTCTCACCTGTAAAGCTTCCCCAACACGGTGATAGCTGGCTTCTTCTGCAAGAAGGCCCTTGTGTGGTTGGTAACCAGCATCTGTCAGACCAGCCTGCTTCTCAAATCGCTGTATGCTTTCCTGTGTCTGCTCTGGTAATTAAAGTGTTAGAAACAAAATTACTCAAAGTTAAGAGGAAACATTATTACTTTGACTAGATATTCAACAGCAAATGAAAATGTTAAGTGCAAGTTATAAAATAGCAATTGATACTAGAGCTGACGATATTTAATACATCTAAAATTATTTAAATCAGAAGGCACCCAATAACAATTTTATTTATAAGAGGGAATGCTGTCTCAAGAGAACCTCACAAAGCTGAAAAAGATTACATAGCTTCAGAATAAAATGCAGAGTTGATTGAAACAGGGTCCAGAGTGTGACGAGTAATCAAAACGGTTCCAGGTAACAGTTAAAAGCAGAATTGAAGAGGGAAGACAGAAGAAAGTTGGAGAAGGAACAGCATTGAAAGGTTGGTAAGTGAAGGCTTTGGAGAATATAATAAAAGTTGGCTCCTTTATTGTTTGAACTTTGCCATTCTAATGTGGAGACTAAAAGAAGCAAGGAGTTAGGAGAGATGAGAAAGTAAACGTTTTTGAAGAATATCAATCATGGAGTTTATGCATAGTGTAATGAGCCAATGAAATGCAAAAAAAACTTAATGGCTACGTTAAGGGTCTGGTGACCCTTCCTCAGAATTCTGACGGAGTTCTAAGGAAGGGTCACTGGACCCAAAATGTGAACTAATTTTTTCCTTCACAGATACTGCCAGACCTGCTGAGCTTTTCCAGCAACTTTTGTTGAGCATTGGAGAAAACCCATTGTGAGGTGAGGAAACTAAACTGGAGTTGTGACATTATTGGCAAGAGGCAGGTAATACAATGATGAAGCAGACAGCATGTATTTAGAAGCTTAGCTTAGGAGCAAACAAAATACTAAGATTTTGGCTGTTGAGGCAGCTGAAGTAGTACAAATGAAAAAAGCATGAAAAGGATGGTTTTAACTTTTGTTTACACCAAGTTAAAGGAAATTTTGGTTAATTGATTAGGAAAGGCAGTCTTGGAGAAAACCAAGAACATACATGTACCACCATTAGATACGGTAAAATGGAACCAGTAGAATACATTACTATAAAGAGATAGATTATATTCTTCATCAATGTGACTGCTTGCTGATGATCGACATGGTTAATGGAAGCAGTGGTTAGAAGAGTGAGAAATGACAATGGTCTGTACTACAGTCACAAAAAGGGACCATTTATTACTGACCAGGATTGTCTGGGTTGGCCAGAATGCGTGTCACAAAGAGGTGGTGTGTTAGGTGGCAAGCTGATATGATGGTGACCCAAATCTAATTAGGTCAGTAATTTGTACCCAGTAGACTTAGTTATCTGGGATTAAATGACTGGAGTCTGGAAAAGGGTGGAAGGTGGAAGCATAGCTGTAACTAGTATTGTTAATATGTAGATTATTCCATTATTTTAGATGTTTTAAGTAGGAGCTTGATAATATCTTCAAAAATCTTTACTACTGCATTAAGACGTACAATCATGCTTGGGTCAGCAAATCTTAATATAGTGGTTTAAACTGTCATCTTACGTTTCATAAGGGAGTTCATAATGATAGAAGTTGCTTTGGCTTTCACCACGTGGACTTTGCTCTGGCTTTCAGCTGATGGAGCCGTGATTGAAGATGAAGCATTTTCTCCATCTTCCACCTGAAAAGGAGCATGAAAGTGAAATTTGTTGAATACTTAAATCATAATACAATTTCTTCTACTTTACTAGTCAAAAGTATGCACAAATATTTGCATAACCTTGGGAATCAAAATCTACATGTGTTGCGTAAATAACAGCTGTAAAATTAAGTTTCCCTGAGTTTGGGCATGGTATTTTTTCCTTATTTAATAGATACACTTTACAGTACAGAACTATCCATTAAGTTCGAAAGGCTGCACTGATTAAAACAATTGCCACAAATTGTTGCATTGCTATTCCAAATATTAGTACCATTCACTTCTATACCTGTTCATTAACTTTAATAGTTATATTTAAGCTGTTACAAACAAGTTGAATTTAGATGTTCTTCACATTTGGACTAATTAAAAAAGGGCTAATCTTGTAAAAGAAACTTGCACTACAGAAATAATCAAATTAAAAATATTGCACAATTCTGTGTGCAAAACAGCTCTAAGAGGAGACTAGTAAAATATCTGCATGGACCAGTGTTGACTGATACACAATTCTCCCCCAAGTAATTTATACTCTCCAAAGTCATAGCCTCAGAGCTTAACCCTTCAGATCATTTCCCCCAAAATTGAAACAAAGAAACCTGTAAGGTTATTTTTAAAACTGTCAAACTAAAGAAGATTGCATTTACATATCTGTCACAATCTGAAGACACTCCAAAGTGATTTACAGAACGTAAAGTCTGGTCAGCAGCAAAACAATTTCCTATAGTCACAGATGTAGGAAACATGCCAGTGCCTACATGCGTCAAGAATTTATGGTATAGTTGAAAGAAAAGAAACAAACTGGAAGTCTACTTGCAACAGATGCATGCCATATTAGAAGTAATAAATTTCCAAAATCAAAGTGGCGTTCATTATGATCAAGTTGTCAGCCAGCACATAATGCTCTTTGATAGGATAGCAAAAACCTTTGTTGAGGAAAACTTGTGATGGTGGTAATGAGCCACCCTCTGGGACAGAAAATCCAGGTTCAAGTCAAAGTGAGGATGTGATGTTCAGAGGCGTGCCATAACAAAAATAAAGACTAACCTTTGCAGAGATTACCCCCATGCCAACAAGCTGCTTTTACATGGCTATTTTAATCATGTTTAAAATAGCCAAGATACTCAGAGGAGCATTATAAACCAATAACACCAAGCAACATGAACAGACATGGAAGCACACGACCAGTGGCAGAGAATGACAATTCCAAAGATTAGAGCCTTTGTAGCTGTGCCTTTGGTGGTGACAGCAGGAAGGACAGCAGGGAAAGGAGACACATTTCCTAAACCTCCAAAACAGCAATTGGTTTAAGTAGAAATTTCCTCATTCAGTACTTGACATAGCTGAGGGCATCTTTTTTATTAAAGGCTCATGGGACATAGGCTTCACTGGCTGGCCATTGTTTATGGCCCATTCTTAGTTGCCCTTGAGAAGGTGGCAGTGAGCTGTCTTCTCAAACTGCTATCTGAGAAAGAAGATAGTATTGGTGGTCACGAGCATGAGATCTGGTCAGTTTTCAGGGCGACAACAGGCTGCATGTACCCAAGTAAAGTCAGATGAATTCTTTGATGCAGTCCTCAGTGTTGCTGGAAAATAATCTAGCGACTGAAATGCCCCCATCAAGGACACATACACAATTTCCAGCCAGAAGAGATAATTGCTTCTACAAGCTGTTAAGAGAGGGGTCATCTTAGCCCTGCATACAATGAGTCTGTGCTGCTGTCTATGAGACACTGCAGCAAGATTTATTTCATAAGGGACAAGATCAGGAAGATATCAAATCTCACTCGACACAACTGAAAGCAACAGATGTAATTATGTTGTATTCTGTTGGAGAATTCACCCTGCTTTTATTGGGACAATTTCTGTTCCGTTTGCTGCTACAGTCAGTAGAAATTGTCTTTAAGACAAACTTTGCTTGCTTTTGTTTACTGAGTAAATACACCCAGGTCCCACCAGCTACCCTGCTTCCAGTACATTGACACCATTGTCAGTCAATAGACAGCTTGTACAACAGAAAAGAAAATCACTGCAAAAAAAGTCAAAATCTAGAAGTATGACAACAGTCTTGTGGAAAAATATTTCTGTAGGTGGCAGAGAGAAAATCGGTAATCTGAAATGGATGTCAAACAAAGAAAAAAGTGAAACATCTACAAGAACAAATCTGCTCAGTTCCCAAAGTTACACTACACCAGAGAATATTTAACTTTTATGGAAATAAACGCATTTACATATTACTGCAATAGCTCCAATGATTATAAATAAAAGTATACCATTGCTAGTTGTTGATATTTCCGCTCTGGAATAACAGGCTGTTTCCACAATATATTGCTTCCCATATCAGGAGGAGGGGGTGTCATTGGCGCTAAATCTTCCAAGGCGTCATCGTAGCTGAATGCCCTACGGTGCATCCCAATGGGCAGGGACAGCTTTCCCAGTAAGCTCGAAGGATGCTCGATAGCTGCAAAAGGCATGGACAGTACATTTCATTGTAACTAGATCACATCTTTCGTGTTAATTACAACAGCGGTATTCGGTCGTCAATAAACAACGCCATGTTCAGGTGCACTTAAAGTAAAATTTCAAGTTCTGCTACTGAAAACAATTTGGACTATTAAATTCGACGCACATTAAAGCAGTGCATCGGCTGAGCAACTCCATCTTAAAGCGCAAAGAACCCGCCACAGCAAATGGATGAAATTCAGGAAGGTCTGAGATAACA